GTTATGAGTCCTTTCTTAAAGCTGATCGTTTTGTGTTCATTTTGTTTCTTTTTTCGTAATAGATTTAATGTTTAGTATAGAGCTTAGAAAAATTCGCAGTGTGAGATAGGCAAGAAGTAAGGCATGTAGCAACATCAGCACGTCAAAGGGCACTCCTTTAAAAGCAAGGAAGGGCAAAAATATTTTAAGTCAAGTGATAGTGATTGTACGATTTTTGAATCAAGCACTGTGCTATGTGTCCTTGAAGACCTGTTAATTTTCCCTCTGAAGGTTCTCCACTGCCTCAAGGACACATGGCACAGTGGATAAAGGCGTTGGTTAGATCCAGTGATAGGACCCAAAGAGTTTGAGTTCAATACCCGGTTATGGCAGTGGAGAACTTTCACAGGGAAAATTAACAGGAGATAACTGATAACTGACATCCATCAAACATGTCACGTGGAACTAGAACAGTCTACCCCAGTGAGCGAAATAAAGGGTTAAGTTCGACATTCTAACCACCTGAAGAAGGCCGGAGTGTACAATGGCCGAAACGTTATGATAAATATGGCGACAAAGATGAGGACAATTGTCCGAATAATGTAAATAATGTGTTCAAATCATGTAAAAGAAAAATTTTCCATTTGTTAGATAAGGAATGTATAATTACTCTCCAAGTTTAAGAAAAGAATCGTGATGAATTCAGTCATAAACGAAAATGATATCTCATCATTAATTACTCATAGCTAAGGACCAGGGACTGAATGTTAATATATATATATATATATATATATATATATATATATATATATATATATATATATATAGTTACGGGATCATTTTGAACTTATTCAAGATAATCTTCGCCCTCTCTAAGTTTCTAACTTTTTGTCCTGGAATAACAGGGTGCCTCATATGTTTCATGTACTATTTCATTTTCAAGTCTTTCTATCACTATTGTTTGGACTGTCATAGCTGAAACTCCTCTCTTACGTGTCAAACCTCTTATGAATTGAGTTGGATCTTTTCTAATTGATCGCTTTTAGTTGAAATGATGATCTCTCTTCCTGTTCTGATCTCTTGATCCAGATTTCCTCTCTATTCTTCCCTTTTATTTAAAAAAACTTAATCTCCGTTCTCTTGAGAGTTGTTGAATGGACTATGAAGATGGAAGTCCGGGTATGAATGACTTCCATTACTGAAGGGCGGAAAGGTTTTTCCACCCACTCATTTGGGAGAAAAAAAAAGGTGGGGCTTACACAAAACTATTTGAACCTGTTCTCTTTCTGGCTGAATATCTCAGAGGATATTTCAGTGATTCGTACGACAAACGATGGCAAGATGGTTAAACGACTTATCTGAAATCCTGGAAACAAGAAACTAAATTAGTTTATGTTATGGAAAACTACCTTCATGGACAAAATAGACTCGTCTTATGACTATATTATGCCTAGCAAGAGGACTGTAAATAGCTGACGAGTTTACTACGGTTGACTTCTGTCGAGCTCTCTGCTTTGGCAGAGAGGAACCCGGGCGAAACTTTGCCCTTCGGCAAAGCTTCGCCCGAGGAGGTAGACAGGAGGGGATCGTTAAATATTTCTCTACGTGTACGTCTTCTCTGTACGACATATGTCGAACTCTCTGCTTTAGCAGAGAGGAATCCCGACGATGCCTTGCTGAAGGGCAAAGTTCCCCCCCGGGATGTAGACAGGCCCTGAACCCGTCTAGGCGGGTTCAAAGGGTATATTTTTGGCCGAGTCTACGGGCTCGGAGAAACCCACGTTAAACTCGGCCTTGTGCCACATACCTTCCTCGTGGGGGGGGGGATCGTTAAATATTGAAGACGAGTTGACTACTGTACTTAACCGGCAGACGGACGTGCAACACTTCTGTATTCGTTCTTTATGTTAATAATACGTTTTCACTGAATTACTGAGTTCGAGTTTTCTTTCGGACCTATTCCGGGTCCAAAACAGTTTATTGGTTTTATATATCAACATTTTATAGGAAGGACAATTATCGCATGCTGTCACCCGGTTTGGAGAATTTTGATGTTATACCCGATATACTCATAGAGGGTGTTCCCAATCCCTACAATCTTAACCTCTTCACGTTTAAGGTTAACTGTTATCTTTCTGTTGAAACTTGACTAATGCATGGAATAATAATGCAACACAAAAGTACTTAGAACAAAATGTATTGAACAAGAAAGTGTACACAATATTTACATAGAGTCTTTTGTATATTCCTGGGAAGACCGTTTCTGGAGAATGTGTTGACTTAGTCGCAGTCGGGCAGAGTCTCTGGATTGAATCTCTTGATTCCTCCCTCTCTTCCCGGTACCAACCATATTTATATGGTCGGTACTCCACTATGCAAATTAGGTGGATCCTACCACAACACTTTCCTACCTAAACTGCACTGTCTTTTTGTACACTCATCCAAAGTCACCCTGTAACCGTCCAACGAGTTGTTCTTCGGCCTAGTGTTTTGTGAACATTAATATAAAAAAGGAAAAGCATGTTATTAGGTTGGTGCAAAAATAATGTCGTTTTCTCACATATGTTACTTTTATATATGATTTCTGAATTAATTCATTGATATATATATATATAGCCATGTTATATATCATTTTGAAGCGCGTTTTTCGCTCTATCGAATCGTGTTATTCGTTACCGTTCTCAATCTCTTCATTTTTTTTTTTTTGCACGCTTTTCAACAGCATGGACAAACAAAATTCAAATCCGCACGTTTTTCTTGTTCCAGTTCAAACTAGGCCGAAAAGCTGCCGAGACAGCTCGTGATATCAATGATGCGTTTGGCCCAGGAACCACTAACGAACATGTGGCACAACGATGGTTCAAGAAATTTCGCAATGGTGACGAGAGCCTCGAAGATGAAGACGGTCGCGGCCAGACGGTCGCGGCCAGCCGACTGTGGTTGATAACGAACATTTGAAAGCCTTAATTGAAGCCGATCCTCGCAAAACCACACGGGAAGTTGCTGTTGAAATCCAGGTCGACCACTCAACAGTCGTTCGCCATTTAAAGCAAATAGGGAAGTCAAAAAAGTTGGATAAATGGATGCCGCATGAATTGAACGATAATCAAAAAAATCGTCGTTTTGAGGTGTCTTCTACGCTCCTTCTGCGCAACAAAAACGACCCATTTCTTGAGTGGATTGTGACGTGTGATGAGAAATGGATCCTCTACGACAACCGGCGACGTTCAGCACAGTGGTTGGATGCCGGAGAAGCTCCACAACACTTCCCGAAGCCGAACTTGCACCAAAAAAAAACTATGGTGACTGTTTGGTGGTCTGCGGCCGGTCTCATCCATCACAGCTTCTTGAATCCGGGCGAAACGATTACGGCGAAGTACTGCCGACAAATTGACGAAATGCACCAGAAGCACCAACGTATGTGCCCGAGATTGGTCAATATGAAGGGACCAATTCTCCTCCATGACAACGCTCGCCCGCATGTTGCTCAACTGACCCTGCAGAAGCTGAACGAATTGGGCTACGAGACTCTGCCTCATCCGCCATATTCACTGGACCTCTCGCCCACCGATTATCACTTTTTCAAGCATCTCGACAATTTCCTGCGCGAAAAATGCTTCAAAAGCGGAGATGATGCCGAATCGGCCTTCAATGACTTCATCGCTTCCAGAACTCCGGATTTCTATGCTAATGGGATAAATAAACTTGTTTCTCGTTGGCAAAAATGTGTCGATTCTTATGGTTCTTATTTCGATTAATGAAGTTTATTATGAAAGGAGTTATGATCTTTTGAAGTTGAACGTCAAAAAACGACATTATTTTTGCACCAACCTAATACGTTACGATTTGCCTTTGGCCGATGCACTGTGTCCCCATCTATAATTTTTCATATTTTTTATTACTGTTAGTAAATAAACTGAGTTGTTTCTTTCTAGGGTTGACCGTCAAAAACAGTAAAGAGCGAACCTACTTTTGAGTAGTTGTGGCATTGTATAAACGGAGTTAATTTTGTTCTACCTGACTTTAGAGTTAACCTGATTGTTAAGTTGTAACAAGATTTTACCAAATCTGTACTAAAGACGATGGCTAAGCTGTATTTAGGTTTGTTATTTCTTTTCATTAGAATATATTTGATACCCTGGGAAAATTGTTGATATTCAGTTAATTGTACAAATGACTGATTCATTGTTTGAAATAAAAATCGGTCAGTTATTTTGAACGAAAGATTAAAGAGGTTGAATTAGTGACAGGAAATCAAGAATGAAGGAGACAGAGAAATAAAGAAATAATGTATATAAAAGAGAAAAAGAATCTGAAAACAATAAGAAAGAAAGAAAGAAAGAAAGAAAGAAAGAAAGAAAGAAAGAAAGAAAGGCATAAATGAAACGAAAGGAGGAAAAAAAAGAAACGAAAAGAAAAAAGAAAGGAAACTAAAGAGAAAATTATGAAAAAGAAAGATAGAAGAAAAACTCAAAGAAAAACTCAAAGAAAGTTAAAAAGGGAGGAAAAGAAAAACAACAAGTAAGAAAGAAAGAAAGAAAGAAAATAGAAAAGAAAAAAGTACAAAGGAAGGAAAAGGAAAACAGGAAACAATAAAGAAAGAAAGAAGGATGGAAAGAAAATAAAACTAAATAGAGGTAATGGGGGGGGTGAGTAGAAAATGAAAAAAAACAAGCAAGAAAAAAAGAAAGAAAGAAAGAAAGAACGAACAAAGAAGTGTAAAGAAAACAATATGAAAAACAAAGATTGTAAGGAATAATGATAAAATAATGAAAATCAAAAAGATACGAAAAAGGATGGACGACTAAAAATAAGGAAAAAAAATGAAATCAAAGAAATATGTAGATGAAAAGAAAAAGTGCAGGGAAAGAAAGAAAGAAAGAAAGAAAGAAAGAAAGAAAGAAGGAGAAAGGAAAAGGGAAAAAAGCAAGACAGGACAAAAAGAAAAAAAGAAAGACAGTTAAAGAAGAAGAGAGGTCAAATAGAGCAAGAAAGAAAGAATCATAGAAGGAAATTAAAAGTCAAAGAAAGGCAAAAAGGGTGGTAAAAGAAAAATGGCAAAGAAAAAAGAAAAAAGAAAGAAAAGAAAAAAGACAAGGAAAAGTAAGATAGAAGGCGAAAGGAAAAGTAAAAAGATCAAGCAAGAAAGAAACAAAGAAAAGAAAAAGGGCAAGAAATATAAGAATCAAAGTGGAAGAAAACGTGAAAACGGTAAGAAAGAAAGAAAGAAAGAAAGAAAGAAAGAGAAAGAAAGAAATGTAGAAATGATGAAAGAAAAGCAGAAGGCAGCAAAAAAATTCACAGAAAGATAAGAAGGAAGAAGCAAAGGCAAAATCTTCAAGCAAGAAATAAACAAAGTAAAAAAAAATGAAATGAAACGTATGAAGAATTAGGAAGGAAAATCAGCAAGAAATACAGAAAGAAAATAGGTCAAGGACGGTAAGATAAAAAATAGAAGCAAAAGCAAAAAAAGAAAGCAAGCAAGAAAGAAATATACAAAAAAGAAAGAATGGTAAGAACGAACGATGAAGTTAAACAGAAAGAAAGAAAGAAAGAAAGAAAAAAAGAAAGAAAGAAAGAAATGAATGTAAGAATCTATAAGTTAAGAAAAGCAGAAAATGCGCATGAGAAAGAAAAAAAAAGAGAGAAATTTAAGAGGGAAGGAGGAAGGAAAAACAAAAACAGTAAGAAAGATGGAAAGATATCTAAAAAGAAAAAGACAACGAAAGTTAAGACGAAAGGCGAAAGAAAAAATAAAAAGATCAAGCAAGAAAGCAAGAAGGAAAGGAAAAGAGAAAGAAAGGTAAAACTGAAGAAGAAAGGAAGAAAAGAAAACAGTAAGTAAGAAAGAAATTTCGAAAAACAACTCCATGTAAGATAGGAATAAAAAAGAAAGTACCGAAAAAGGCGAGAAAATAAAATAAAAAAGACAAAAAAGAATACGAAAATGCTGAATGAAAGAATGAAAAAAGAAATGAATAAGACAAAAAAAAATGGACGCTAAATAAAAAATTTCAGCCGAACGATACAAGATAGAAGGAAGAAAGGAAAAAATGACAAGAAAACATTAAAAAATAAGAATAGAAAAATAAATGAAAATCAGAAAAGCTAAAAAGAAACGCAAAATTCACTGCTTATTTTTTTTCTTTCTTTGTTCGTTTTTATTCTCATTGAGCTATTTGCTTTCTTTCTCGTCTGCTATCGCGTTTCTGTTCTCAATTTAGGATTCAACAGCTCAACTCTGTAGAACAGATATTGGTTTGCTTTTCGCCGTTTCTTCTTTCGTTTGTTCCCCCTTCAAATGATACCGCAGCCATGGGCAAAGGAAGTGTGTAAAAATATACCGGAATTGCTAAAAGAGAAAGGGAACGACAGATCGATATGAATTTCAGGCAGATAGATTGAATGATTCAGTGAGTGAGTGGTCGTTGGCCGGCTTTACGATTAATTCCGAGACTTGCTGAATGTTAAGTAACAAATACGTTTGTCCAGCCCCAACATAAAGATATACAAGTAGGCCGTTTACCTGATACGCAGAAAAATCGACACCAAAAGTAACAGAGGACAATAGAACTGAAAAATGAGAAGAAAAAAAGATATCAAATTCAAATTGTTTTTGCTTCGCAAGCTAAAGGATCCAAAATCTCGCGAGACATCGAACAAATCTCGTCTAGTCCATTAAAGCTTGAGGGGAAATATCGTGGTTACTGACTTCACAAAATTCAGATAGCTTTTGTCTTTTCATCTATCTATCTATCTATCTATCTATCTATCTATCTATCTATCACCGTCTAAATCAATTCATATCTATCTATCTATCTATCTATCTATCTATCTATCTATCTATCTATCTATCTTCTTTAACTGTCTATCTGTCTGCCTGTGTGTAAATATATAGACGCAATTTAATGTTTCATGGTGATAGAACGGGTCGGCTGGCGCTTAAGATGTTGTCAATGCACTTTCTGCCTGAGTAAAAAGATGATAAACCCAAATTGTTTTTGCTTGGCAAAGCTAAAGAATCAAAAATCTCGTGAGAGATCGAACAAATCTCGTCTAGTCCATAAAAGCTTGAAGGGAAATATCGTGGTAACGACTCAAAGAAAGTCAGACTTTCCTAACTAAGGACACCTTTTTTCTTTTCATTAATAGATAGATAGATAGATAGATAGATATCATTAATAGATAGATAGATAGATAGATAGATAGATAGATAGATAGATAGATAGATATCTATCTATCTATCTATTTCAGTATGTTCATATCTATCTCAGTCAATTCCTATCTATCTCAGTCTGTTCCTATCTATCTATCTAACTATCTATCTATCTATTTCAGTATGTTCATATCTATCTATCTATCTATCTATCTATCTATCTATCTATCTATCTATCTCCGTATGTTCATATCTATCTATCTATCTATCTATCTATCTATCTATCTATCTATCTATCTATCTATCTATTTCAGTATGTTCATATCTATCTCAGTCAATTCCTATCTATCTCAGTCTGTTCCTATCTATCTCAGTCTGTTCCTATCTATCTATCTATCTATCTATCTATCTATCTATCTATCTATCTCAGACTAGTCTTTACTATCTATCTCCATCTATCTGTCTCCCTGTGTGTAAATATATATGTAATGTAATGTTTCATGGTGACAGAATGGATTGGCAGACGCTTAAAATGATGTCAATGCCAGACGAATATCCCCATTATGAGAAGTAGACTGAAGCAGCCGCCACCCACGAAACACAAACACCTCGTTAAATATTCACTGAATAAAATAAGATACAAATTGCGTTGATGCATTTTATGTAAAAAGATGTTAACTAGTTCAACAAAAAAATCGTTCAGGCCTTCCTGCCCAGGGAATGTTATTCTATGGAATTTTTCTTACAAGCCTAATCCACGAGATTTAGACGTTTTCTTCCGAGCTTGTACTGCTTTTGTATTGCTTTTATAATGTTCCACTGGGCGACTGACACTCCTGATGCTAGCACGGTGGGTGGCAAACGCCGCCAATACTCGGAAATACGGGCGTAAAATTGAATTTAATTTCCAGCGTCAGGAGTTCATTATTTACATTATTCGGACTATTGTCTTCATCTCTGTTGCCATATTTATTACAAAGTTTCGGATGTTGTACGCTTCGGCCTCCTTCAGGTGGTTGGAATGTCGAACTGACCTCTTTATTTCGCTCACTGGGGTAGACTGTTCTAGTTCCACGCTGTTTTAGTTCCACAGTTTTAATGGATGTCAGATATCATGACACGTGGAACTAGAATATTATCCAAATGACTATATATATATATATATATATATATATATATATATTGAACAATAAAAAAATATTAAAAAATTAAAATCTTCAGACACACTGGGTTGTAGATTAATATTCTTTCGTTGTTTTTTTTATTATTTCATTTATATATATATATATATATATATATATATATATATATATATAAATTCACATGCACATATATACATCTGTCTATAAAAAATATACACACATATGCAGTGTTTACCTCATTCCCCCACGAGAAAGAGATGTGACACAAGGTCGGTTTAATGTGGGGATCCGAGCGCGTGCACCCGGGCAGGGTCAAAAATTCCCCTCAGCCCCCGCAACTGTCGGTTGCTCTGGCCTCGGTGCGAGCACTGATCCGTCCCTCTCGAGCAATGGGAGGGCGCGGCCTCGGGCAGCTGTTCCACAGGGCTGGGCACCTCTTCAATATAATTTTCCTCAGTTGCCCCTCTGTCCTTTGACAGAGAAGCCCCTGAACGCACTCTGTCCAAAGACAGAGACGCAACTGAGAGATGATAAGTCTGCACTAAAATCCCTCCAAAGCGGGGTTTATATACACACATATGCAGTCACAAACAGCATAAAAGACGTATACCTACATATATGTATATAGATAGAATATATATATATTGTTGTGGCCTGTTTAGGGGCCAGAAAGGAAGACACGGAAGAGGAAGGTTGGTTGAAAAAGTATATTGAAGATATATACAAAACAATAATGTTAGTCATATGTAAATTAGCACTGCGTCTACTACTGCCACTCCAGTCCACTCTCGCTGGTTGTATTTCTGAGAGGAAGAGTTCATTCAACTGTAGGAGGGTTTACCACAACATATATATATATATATATATATATATATATATATATAAGTTATAAAGAACTTGGTAAACCGAATTGGTAATTCCAAGGGGGATGAAATCCTGAGAGCTCAATGTGAAGAACAGAGCTAATATTTAATGAAAAACAGACCAATTTAAGGTACCATTACAATAATTTATTTCACCAAAATCCTTTTTTCGGATCATCAGGTAAACACTTCCAACAATGAAATGAGAAGATATATATATATATATATATGAAAATTTCTCTGATTTAACCAGTAGAGAAGACAATATTTATGAATAAAAATGACAATACGAAAACTGGTAACGTTATTTTTCAGTTAAAAAATATGAAAATAGCGTTTCTCTACATTCCAGTTGCTAGGTACATTCTCTTTTTGTTTTTATTAGTTACGTTGTTCAATTAAATTCATTTTCGTATTTTGCTTTGATAAAGTCCACATTGGACGAAACGCGTCAGCAATTACCAGTTTTCCTATTGTCATTTTTATTCATAAATATATATATATATATATATATATATATATATATATATAGTTTGGTCTACTTAGCGTATTGAGCACTTTGCTTAGTTATTTTTACTGAGTCGTAGCTTTTCTTCTTCGGACTCTGAACTTTAATCCTAGACGATTATTTTCACCGGAAGTACATGTTCTTAGTTATTTCTTTTTTGTACCCTTTTCTTTCCGTTGGGTATTGGTTTGTTCATTTACAAGCTAAAACACCTAAGGTTTTGCCAGACGAGTATAGCTCCTTATATTTATAAGATTATTAGTATATATATATATATATATATATATATATATATATATATATATATATACGTTTCATTAAATAATATAGACAAGTGTTGTCTATTTATTTTATGTAAATTTTTTTCGTAACATCTGATAAGTTTAATAACATTATCGTTGAACGAAGAAAGAAATTCACAATATTGATCCATATTTTTTTAATATAATCTAAGCTTTCGGCTTACTTAAGCCATTATCAAAGATGTCAATTACAACATATTAAACAATATACGGACACGACAGTGATGATAGTCTCTCAATGTTTACATAGATGATTTCTAAGCAACGATAAACACGCGTATATAAGACGCTAGAAGCGAAAATCGCACCGCATCTCATGACGTCACATATGACCACAGGAGAGTGAATTGGAGAAGTATGGAAAGCCATTGGTATAAACCAATGGCTTCTGTTACCAATTATAGACATTTAAGAATATTTGTAGAGATGCCATAATTGATTTTGTTTAGGTTGGGTTTTAACTCTTTGATGTATAATACTTCAAGTATTTTTAGTTTTTGTCTATTGTTTTCATGTCGAAGTATAGTTGTGTTTTCGACAAGTATTTTACGGAATTGTGTGTGCGGGCAGGCATGTTGTTTTAAATGCCTAAAAATGTTAGAGTTTTCATTCAAATGTAGTGTCAAGCGTCGTGAAAGCGAGTTTGTGGTGAGACCAACATATTTTCTACATATATATATATATATATATATATATATATATATATATATATATATATATATATATAGAATCGCATGACCACTAGGGAAATAAGTCAGAAATGGGTGTTACACGCATTGACAAAAAACAAAAAACAAATTCCAGTGCTCCTCTGTTGCCGCCAATTTACTCGCTCCACGCCAGGCTATACGTGGATACAAAGTAAGATTCCTTTCAATTATTTTCGCCTCGCCAAAAAGGGATGAATAGTGAATATCAAGCAGAGAAAAGAATGGATAAGGCCCGAGAAGCACTCCAAATCCTGCCAGAGCTGCACCGGCGGAAGCGAATGATCTGCGTTTGGTGGGATTCGCAAGGGTTTCAAAATAACGACACCACCAATGATAAGCTCTATGTTTAACAAATGACGAGCGTTGAAGCGTCAATTTAGCTGAAAAGACCTGACCGGCGATACAGTGTGATTATTCAATATTCACACCTCCACATCGCTAGCATGACTAAAATGACCTTTTTTTTTTAATTTTTATATCTATAAAAAGAGCGTATACACCAAAAAATGTCTTAAAATAATTGTCGGACTTTGTCCAATTCATAATGTGTGACGTCATTTGTTTACATTTGGATACGCGCCGAGCAGATATGAATGTACGAGAGAAAATCATGGAGAATTGTAGTTTAAAAACAGTAAAATCGGCTTTGCTAATCGAAACTCTGTGGCTAAATCGGTAAAGGAGGTCAGGCTATATGACGGTTCCATATAGGATACAGGTTCGATTCCCATCGGAGGACGCATATTTTCTATGACAATTTCTTGGACATTCAGGCCGGTAAATGTCGTTAATACTGTTTCTTATTAATAGAGCATTTACTTAAATATTTGTATCTATAAATAGAACGTATAAACATAAAAAAATGTCTTTATATATATATATATATGTAGAAAAATAGGAAAGAATACGTTGGGTAAATAATCCGGAGTTTTTTAGTATTTTTCTTTTTATTTAAAAAAAAAAAAAAAAAAACAAAACAGTGCTCCATACAGAAGTAGAGCTTAAAGTATAATTATTTTTAAAATTTTCGCTTGAGGATCAAACAGGTCTTGATACTTGATAAACTCAATATAATTTTAATAATTATAATGAGGTTTTCGGCTCCCGTTTTTGAAACATGAGAACTCTTACGTAGCGAAGGAATCATATTTTTAAAAAATATTTATAATATATATATATATATATATATATATATATATAAATATGTGTGTGTTTGTGTTTTTGCGTGTGTGTGTATGAACAAACTGATATATGCACAATTTATTTATTAAATATTTCTCCATTATAAGACCCAAGTGACAGTCATGGCCGAGTCTTACTATATGACATTGAATTATGGGTAAATTTGGGGTAAAAGAGAATTAAGGGCAGATTATGATTGTCCCCCAGTTAGGTAATGATTAACTATCGGGATTCTATTCCATATTGTAGCAGAAACTTGAAGAAACTGACCAAATAGTAATTCATTCTCAGTAATGCAATATGTATATCCTGTGTATAATGTATATCCTGTGTATAATGTATATCCTGTGTATAATTTGCAGCGGGTTTTAGCTCTAAAGTTCTGAACTGGTGACACTGGGTCATGCAGATCAGGAAAAGAGATAGATTAGCGAGAGGGTCGGGTCTTTGCATCTGTGGGGATGCGGTTGTAATTTGGAAAACAATTTATCGCATACAGGGCCTTGCAAACGCTAATACTATAAAGAGAATCTCGTGCAGACTGGAAAGAGAATGTTGTGCATGATGGACTAGAAACACTCTATATAAAGAGTGGAACATTGCTGGAGGAGTCAGGTACTTCCTGGGGTGGTATACATAACCGTGTATAATTCTAGCATCTTTATCTATGTAGCTTATGACTTCCACTTGGCGGTCTGTGTTGAACTTTCGTCCCAAAGGAAGCCACC